AAGCCGACATAAGCATCCCTGCTTCTATTTGTGTGTGGTTGTGAGCATGCATAAGTGTATAAGGCTTCTCTAATAGAACATTTAATAGTAACTGTGAAGCAGCAGAGACCCGCCCCCCAAGACCAGAGGCAGACAAAAAAGGGGTGACCAGAGCCCAAGACCCCAGGAGGGACCCCGACCGCGGAGCCCCCAGGTCCACCCACACAGGACGAACCACTCGCCCACCCCCCAGATCGGACCACAGGGGAGAGCCAGAAGATCCCCACCAGCGACCACATACAGTGACCCCCCGGGGCCAACAGCGACAAACTCATAGGCCCCCACCGGAACCCGCCACACCGATGCAGGTCCAGGCCCGGGCACCGAGGCCCGGGCACCGAGGACTCACACCACCCAGGCCAAGGCCTGACAGGGCCAGAGGACCAGAGCCCCACCAGGCAGACACCAGGCCAAGCCGACACGCCCAAGCGCCCAGCCCCCGACACCAAGGGCCCCAAGCGCGCCGGCAGGCAAGGGCACACCCCACCAGGGGACCACGCGATAGGGGCGCGATGCCAAGCACCCGCAGTTGTATCAAAGAGGGGGCAGTCCGAGTCTCGGCCTAACAAATACCCATTCATACACAGACTGGTGTTTAAATGCTTTCATAATTCACGGATCAAAAATGACCCATAAAACAATCTTTGTACTATAGTAGTGTACAGCCCACATGGAAACATAAACAAAAACAAAGTATACATTTTCTAATAATGGAGTCCCTTTAGGAAAAGTCATAACATTTCAAGTTGGTAAAAGATAGTTTACGGTATTTTGTCTACAGCTAAACATGGTAGTGGATCACTTTTGACCCACAAGACAACACACATGTCTTAGTTCATATATTAGATCTTACTACTGTTTTTCTTTACAATTTATACTTTTGTTTGATGTAATAGGACCCTGTGCACACAATTTTGTTCCACCACATGTACTACATATGATGTGAATGGCAATAAAGAAACCTTGACCTTGATAGTTCTTGTCTTTCTTCAGTAAATCCGTCAGATTGATTATCTACCTTTCCACTATATGTGATAAACTTTATACCAGATGTAGCTGAAGAAATATGCAGTCTGCAGCGCCAACAACTGTGTATGAACCAAATCTTTGACCAGAGTCAAATCAAATATACCATACCACTTTATTTATAGAGCACTTAAAACAGCGACAAGGCCGACCAAAGTGCTGTACAGCCAAAACACAAAGCAATATATAAAATGAGGTAAATATTGATGAGCACATTTAAAAACAAGTATTAGGCAAAGACTTGGAAAGAAAATTACATTACATTCAATAAAATAAAACATGTAAAAATAAAATATAAAAACTAAATAGTTAAAAAACTAAAATGTTAAATAATTAATGGATGTAAAAAAAATAGCCTTGTCTACCATTTCTAAAAAAATATATCTTAACCTTCCATTCAGCATGTGTGCAACAGACACACTGAATCAATAGGTTTTCTTTCTTTCTGTAAACATATTTAACATGAACAAGGCAACAGTACACACAGGGCCAAATCGCCTTTCACTAGTAAAAAACCCAACAACCCAAAGCAGCAACTGATCGTGGGATTCTTGCTGTGGTGGGCACCCCTATAATTCTCGTGTGCATGGATTCTTGTGGATAAGCTAGGCAGCAGAGGGACTTTAGGGTGTTCTGTGTTGTGGGTAGAGAATCTTTTTCCCTATCACAGCCCAGAACGACTTGGAATGTGTACGATTTTGGATTTGTGTTGGGCTGAACTAATTGAGTCCTTTTAAAGACCTTACTGCCCTGACTCCAGGACAGTGTTGGCACATAAACATACACCCCACACTGAAACAGACACATGCACAAATCCAAACACAAACACACACATGCTCCCCTTTGTGCCTTTCTATGCCAATCCTAATCCTGCCTTACCAGCTGCAGAAAAAAAGGAGAAATGGAGAGAAAATCTCCTCCCTGCACCCAGTTCCAATTCACTTTTCAATTTCAAGGTGCTTTATTGGCAAGGCTTTGCCTGAGTGATGCCAAGGCAATTAACAGGAAAAAAAGTGCTTTCAAAGCAAAATAAAGGGGAAGAAACCCCCACTGCCTTTAGAATATGGCAAACAGAACAACACTAATCAGCACTGATATCATTTTAATTTTCAATTAATTATTTTCTTCTTTTCATACCTTCTCAGATGGGGTCACTGTATGAGTTTGTTTTTCCTTTGTAACTGTGATAGACCATGAAAATTACTCCATCAAATTGTATAAATGGGCAGCAGAGTGGAGTAGTTGGTAGAGTTGCTGCCTCTCAGTGAGCAGGTCCCTGGTTCAAATCCTGGTCCGAGGGCCTTTCTGTGTGGAGTTTGCATGTTCTCTCTGTGCATGTGTAGGTTTTCTCCGGATACTCCGGTTTCCTCCCACAGACAAAAAACATGTATGTTAGGCTGATAACTGATAACTCTAAATTGTCCCTAGGTGTGAGTGAGAGAGTGAATGGTTGTTTGCCTTGTTTGTCTCCATGTGTCCCTGTGATGGACTGGAGACCTGTCCAGGGTGTACCCTGCCTCTTGAACAGTGATAGCTGGACATGGGCACCAGTGACCCCAGCAACCCAAAAAGGATGAAGCGGGCAAAGAGAATGGATAGATGGATGGATGGATGGATGGATGGATGGATGGATGGATGGATGGATGGATGGACGGATGGAAAGTGTATAAACCCAAGTAGAAGCAAAAAGACACAACAATGGACTACTGACTATATAGTTTAGTTTCTCTGGGAATGACTGGTCAACTTTGATAGTCAAAATGAAAATGTGCTTTTCAAAATGGCAACTAAGTGCATAGAAAGTTTATGGATAGTTTTACAGAAATAGAAGATTCATAAATGGAATGAAAGCAAACTCATTGAATTGCCATTGTTGAGTAGGTATTTGATTTTCCATAAACTTCATAATGACATGACATTAAAGTGATTTTTGTAGTGAAAATGAGCAAAAATGTGTTATGGAAAAACAGAAAATAGTGAAAACTAAGTAAATTATGTGCAAAAGAAAATACAGTTTTAAACCTGTACTACATTGTATAATATTGAACTTACACTGAGCCTCTGTATCTTGTAGCCTACTACTATAAACATGTATTTTTATCAATAGTTCCTAAGGGTTTCTGAAGGTCTGCAAAGTAGTTTTTTTAAATGTTTTTTTACCTTGACTGTCTCAAGATTTTGCACTTGACAATCAAAGTGAAATCTGCTGAATTCGCCTTAGAAATTGGACCAGTAGAGGGCTAAAGTGTACCAGGGGAAAAAATAAATAAATAAACATATATATATATATATATATATATATATATATATATATATATATATAATGTTTCTAAAACAAATGAACATGATCTAAAATATTGTTTTTAGGAAATAAAGGTGAAAAGTCCAGCAACGACTTGACAAAGAACTTGAGGGATGCATCACCCCTCAATTAATTGTCAGTATGTCATGCCTTTCACTAATGCATTTTGGAAATGACCTTTTTGGTCCAGAAAGACTTTTGCATTACCACATTACACATTCTCGCCAATTCTACTTTGTTACTGCCTCTATTGCCAGCTCAGAAGTGTAACGACAGCAGGTTGACTTCAACGTCTCTTTCTGTAGATCTCAACAATGTGAA